TAGATCTGTGTTCGACGCACACTGTATCAGAAAGGTATTCATAACATCCAAAGCATGCCAGAGATGTGTGGTGACGTGGAGCTGCTGTCTGAACTGTCTGACTGTATGCATGCAGTCAGTGTGGTTACACTACAGTACAGTAGGTTCGTCCTAAACTTCATGCTGTTGTAATTACAGCTTTTACACTTGTAAAGCTGTCATGTTTTTTTAATGTGCAGCTGAAACTGACTGCAGAGCGATTTGAAGGTAGAGTTGTGTGTGATTGGATCTTGTAGTTTGTAGTTTTGTCGCACCCTGGAGCAACAACATCTTTTAGTTTCACGGTGATTTTCGTGTGCAGATGAGAGCAGATGACAGACAGATTCATCCAGGAGCAGGCAGACACTTGAACAGACGAGGTGTTTCAGGGTGAAACAGAATGAAACACCCCGAGGCTAGACTTATACGACTGTCAAAAGTAATCACTGCCTAATGGATTAATGGGATTTGTCTGACCTCTACGTTAAATCATATTTCTCAGAAAAGAAACGCCAAATCTTTTGTAGTATGAATAACTAACTTGACGTATGAAAAGTGTGTAATTCTCCATTCTCTGCAGTGGGTGTATGTTCAGGAACAACGGCATGATGTTGTGAAGCTAAATGGAAAGAAGTGATGAAGCAGAAACAATGATAGCTGTTACTCAGTGCATGTAATAGTTTTTGTAGTATTCGTTCCTGAGTCACAGTTAATTTATATTAGGTTCTTTCCCTATTGCTTGTCAATATGAATCAACGTAACTTTGCATATTCCTTTCGTCACATTAACATCTCCTATTTATAGGGCATTTGTTTGGACCAAATTGTATCTGTGGCCTGAATGAATAAGACTAAAAGTACACGTTAAAAACAATCCTACCATGTGCATGCTGCATGATGAACGGATCATTGAACATTTAAATGTTTTCACCGATCAATCTGCTCATCATTTCCTGTTTTTGTAAACGTTTTGGGCATATTATTCAAAAATGAAAGCTGAATTGATCAGTCATTCTGTTTTTTCAATCAAGTAAATTACAACGATTATCACCATATAAATATATCCGGCTGTTTTTGTCCGGGTTGATCATGCTAGCAGTAGCAGTTTCTGTGACGCTATGACATAAAAAATGCTTATTCATGTTCCTCCATTACACTAAATCATTCTCTGACATTAGGTAAACACTGTACAGTTTGTTAAACAAAAACGTTTTTAATATGTTAATTGTACTATATTAATGAATAGTATTGGTTTTGTTTTAATACCAGTGACTTGAGAGTACGGCAATGTATACTTTTCTTTTTTTTTCTATTCTGAAAAAGTAGATTTTGGTTCTTGATCACATTTCATTGTGCTGCTGTAAGCATGCTGTCACTTGTCTGACCTACTTCTGGACTTCATTATCTCTCTTGGAATATTTGTCTGCTCCAGAAATAGCTTTTTACGTGCTGCAGACCAGGATAGCGGCATGTGCACATTATAGACGTTTCTCTATGGTTTTGGCTTTAAGGAAGACAAACAACTGATACAATAAAAAAACAAGAACAACTTCACTTTTGAGGATCCCAAACCAGTTAATAAATACAAAATAAAATACAAAAAATTGATATTTTATCTATATATATATTTATACATTTTTATTTGATAACATCATTTTTTAACATAATCCCATAGCAAGAAATAGCATAAATACAAAATTGAAAAATATGTACATGTATTTAAAAAAGAAAATGGATTTATACGTTAGAAACAAATTAAAACGTATACTACTTATAGAAAACATTTAGATGTATTTCTACTTCACTCAGGTAGACACAAACTACAATAGTAAATCCAAACCAGCCAAACTCAGTCCTGACATGTGAGAGATTTATTTTGTAGACATAGCAGAGGACTGTGGTCAGAGCAATGGTCTGCCTCTCTCTTAACACACTTCTTGTCAATCATACATACAAATTACATACACGCACGCACGCAGCTCTCCTCCTTCTGCCTCGCTTCCACATTACAGGGACCAGACACGCTTGGATACACAAACAAACATACTTTTACTCTCTCAGAAACACACACACACACACACACACACACACACACACACACACACACACACACACACACACACACACACACACACACACAGTGACACAGTTCTGTTCTTGTGAGCAGGCAGGACGTCAGTGAGGAAGTATATCTCTGTCAGGATCCTTTTTTGCATAATTTCCACTCAGTGTATTAGCGGCTGATAACGGTCTGTTGCCTTATATGGAGCAGCTGCTTCACATGCACACACACACACCTCCAAGTTAATGTTTCACACCCTATGTATACAATTGCACAATCACACGTTTGTGTACTGCAACAGATGGTCGAGAATGCACCAAGGGAACAACAATGCACACATATGCACATATTAACACACACACACCTGGATGCAGAAGAAGGAAGTGAAGAGAATCCTGGGTAATGACAGTCCCACACATTTCCTGTCCTTTCTGGCAGTTAGTTTTATCGGCTCATAGTGCGTTCACTTATGAAACTGTGTGTGTGTCTGAGTAAAACATTGATGAAGTTGGCTGTTATGTGTGTGTACACTTCTTCAACTGAGTCCCATCTTGTTTGTGCTCATTGTTAAATTGCAACCAGTTAAACATACTCGATTGTCAAGCATAAGTCATTCAAATAATATAATTCAAGACTGACGCACGCCTAATTTAACGCTGTGAATCATAAAAAACAAGCTGACGTGTTTTAAGACATCGCACAGTAACCCGATTGCTGAAAGTAAAGATGTTTATCTACTACTGATGACTTATTTTGTGTGTGTTTCTATGACTTGCTACTGTATACTTCTACTACTCATACGCACTAGTTACTCTGCAGATGATCATTTAACACACAAAAAGCGCTTGGGCTACGATTTTCTATTATAAAGACATCTTCAAATGTCCTTTGTTTGTAAAAAGTCCCCAAATGTTGACTTTAAGATATATGACAAAGAAAAGTAGGGAATACTCTCAATGTAAAGACTGGAATCAGATGGTATTGGAAATAATGGAAACATAGATATTTGAATACACCTTTATTTTCATTATTGAGCTGCTGTGAGGCTTCAGTTTCTCTCTGTGTACTTTTGCTTTAGTTAAATGTTTTTATTGGACCTCCAAGGTTCCATTTTTGCCCTTTTTGTTTCAGTAAAGCTTTTTTTGGTAATAATTGTGTTTTTATAGCAATTCTCCTGCTTATTGACCTGGTTCCTCCACATCTCTTAAAAGGTCCCATTCTAGTTAACAGGATTCTCCCCGTAGGTCAAAGGGTTTTCTGACCTTCCTGTCACATGCTCTGCTCTGTCAGGCAGATTCCTACACTGAGCGAAAGTCAGTGGAAAACACACACTGTGAACAAATGTCATGATCTTCCAGAGTGTTAACAGGGGACTACAGGGACTTCCCAAACAAGCTTTTTAATTCTGCCGTCTCACTCAGTTTGGTTATAATCACATGTAGAGTAACTTCTGTAGTGTTTGTAGTGTGTCATCACGTCCATTGTTAGCACTGAACATCTGGAGTGCTGCACACTGGCTGTGCGTCTTGTTCTTCAGCATTGTGTGTCATGTCCCTTTCTGTCCCTGGGGAGGAAAAGGTCATTGTTAGCTGCTGCTTCCTCGCCGCTGTCCTCAGGGAGAGAGGCACCTGTCACAGAGTTTGGACCCGGTTTATTTTGAACCTCTTCCCTATCATTTCTCACAGAGCTGTTACTTCTTTTGCGTGCACATCTTCGTTTGGGTCCCAGCAGGGTAGCAAAAAAGACCCTGAATCTTGGGAAATGTTTTGCCCTTTGCCCTAGATTATTTTAACTTAGGTTCTCAGTTCTAGTTGTGATGAGCTCCATTTGTACTCACTTCACCACAGCAGTAATTATGTAGCTGTTGACCACTGCTGCTGATTGTACAGGAAACTATGATGTGTGCATCCGTTCTGAGTCCAACTGCTTTATATTAATCAGCAGACCTCCTAATTTAGGCCTCAGTAAAGTAGAAGTAAATATTATTTTGACTCACATCGTCTGCGGACTTCCAACAGTAACATTTCCTCCATTTCCCTTTTCATCAGTTTTTGATTATTGTCTAGCGAACTCTGCATTTTGCTTTTCCCCGTAGCTTTCTAAACAAACCACATGCAAATCCCTAGACCGATATGAACAGGACAGTGGGAAATTAGTTTTCCAACCTCTTCTTCTTCCTGTTATTTCCTTCCAACATTCATAAATAGCCTTTTGATGTAAGATGCTGGTCTACTACTCGAGTCTAGGGGGACAAAACATGTGTTCCTTATTGTTGTTATACACATAATACACATAATAGACATAAATACATACAAAACTGCCAAGGCCTTTTCCATTTCTCCATCTGCTCCATATTTTAATGGGTTCTTCCTCGGTCCATGCTGCATCCTTCCGCTAAGTCTTAAAGGTCTCCTATCATGCAAAATGCCCGTTTTGATGTCTTTTATACATAAATATGTGTCCCCGGTGTGTCAGGGAACTAAACCCTCTCTTTTCCTCCGTACTCACATTCAGACTATATCTGAAATGTGGGCTGGCTTTACACCCACGGCCCTATCAGAAACGCCGCTATCAGAAACAATGCGCGACGCAGCATTTAGCTGTATCTGCGGTAGAATTCTGAGCAGGCACAAGCTCCCCCTCCTCTCTTTTTTTTTTTCAAGCTAAGGACCCAGAATCCGTAGTTCTGTAACAGGCCTGAAATAGAGGGGTATGAGGGATGTCTAAAAGGCATGATCTGTTTGGTATTTTGAGCAAAACACATCATAGACATGTTATTTATATATTTTGATATATCTGAGACCCATAATATATACCTAAAAATAGCAAGATAGGAGATCTTTAATGAAATCGGGGCTATTTAAAAAGTTATAATAAATAATCAGTGGAGCTTTAATATTCTCTACTGTCCCTCTCATCAGAAATGGAAGAAGAACTGGTTCGTCCTGTTCCCCGCCAGCCAGAACGGCATCGCCCGCCTCGAGTTCTACGACTCCGGCGGCGGCGGAGGCTCGGGGAGCGGGTCCACGGAGAAGTCCAGGAAGCTCGACAAGAAGATCATCCGCCTGTCCGAGTGCATCTCCATCCTGCCGGCGCTGACGGAGAGCTGTCCCAAAGAGAACATGTCGGCCTTCTGCGTGGAGACCAACGACAAGACGCACGTGTTCTCCGCCGAGAGGAACACTGCCAAGGACTGGATGGACACCATGTGTGACATCGCCTTTAAGGTATGTTCTTCTTTCTTTATGTGGGAAATGTGTGCCCAGAAATATTTAAATAAAGAAAAACTAGTTCCCTTAGTTTGGTGGGGAAAGCTGAGGAATCGCAGTTTTAAAGTTTCCATTCAACTGGCAGCGTCTTGTTTGTGTGTCTTCCAACATTTCCCACAAGCCCCTGGGGTGTCCAAACAGGCTACAGCTTCCATTTTGTGCAGTCACACACACGCATACACACACATGATCATTAGACATATTTGCAGAGAGGAAGCCAGAGGAAGCTTCCAGGAGGACGACCTTATCCGCTTCTCTGCTGCACACTTACTCTTTATTTTCATTTTCTCTTTGCCTTTCCTTTCAGTGATTGTACAGGAAAGATTTCCCCAAAACAACAAGTTAATTCATATATTGTGAAAGTCCTGATTGTGTGTCTGTGTGTGTGCAGGGCGGCAGCAGCAGCAGCAGTGCGGCTGCAGACCCTAACGGAGGGGGCCTCGACCTGCAGATGTCTGAAAACCTCATCTACTACTCCAGAGAGGAGGGTAAGGACTCTCAACTGTGTGCTGTTACATCATTTATGTTATTTTGTTTCAATCGCATTACATTTTTCAGACTAGTGGAAAGAAAAACTATGGATTTCTCCTAAATTAACTAACATAAAATATTAAATAATGCAATAATTTGCATGTTTCAACATAAAAATGGTCAACTTATTGTTTTTCAAGTTTTTGTCAAATGAAAAGTGAATATCAATGGTTGAATTCACATGCAGTAATACTACTACTAATAATAATAAGTAACATCATTCCAACATAAGCTAAGATAGTTCTGCTTATTCATCAAAACAAAACATCATTTTAACAATATGAATCTATAATTCCCTCTGTAAAACCCCTACACTCTTAACATGTTTTTCTATTCCCAAATGTAGCATAATGACTCATTTGTATATTTAAACATAACATTTCAGAAAGCTTTTATTAAAACATAAATAACTTGATGTGGGGAAGTTTTATGATGAAATCTACTGGTCAAAAACCTGTAGTGTCTCCTCTTATGAAAATATAGCATTGCATCACAGACAACCATTAGACATAGAAAAGAGAATGCAGGTACACCAGAGCAAAAACACCTCTCCTCTGATCTCCAGTGAACGAGTTCTGGGTGAGCGTGCAGCGCACCGAGGCGTCAGAGCGCTGCGGGATGACGGGCAGCTACTGGCTGAAGGCCGAGAACGACATCTTGTTCTTAAAGGAACCGAAGACCAAGAGGGACGTTCTGGCGTGGCCCTACAAGCTGCTGCGGAGATACGGCCGGGACCGGGTGGGTTATATGTGACACTGAAGCGATTGATGGTAGTTAGGAAGTGCAGATGATGCTTTTAGCTGCAGTGTGGTCAGAGACTTACCGTCACAGAGGGTATTTACAGCTTTACAGTGGCTGTTTTTGTGTCAGTTATATGCTTCAGATATAGAGACCAGGGGCCTCATTTATAAAGCCTTGCATAGGATTGGCGTGGGAAGGTTGCTTACGTAGGACAAAGCAAATAAATACGCAGACATTTTCCGATTCATAAAAGACTGCGTACCGGCGCAGGACTTGCGTACTGCACATCCTACGCCGGTTTCCCTTTTATAAATCACAATCAACTCGACATGCGGCCCAGCTTTTGCGGGCTTCACGTAACGCCCATATTTGCCTATAAATAGTCAAAGAGACGCCCATTCATTCATTGATTTTGACTGACTGCATGAAGAAGATCGAAGGAAATGACAGGAGAGGACAGCTAAAAAAGACATCTCACACCGTGTCAGATTCTGGTTATTTTGGGGAGGTGGAGATAAATCATATTGTTTGGTGGATGCAGTTTGAACCAGAGTTCAAACAGAGTTCACCAGCATGGAGGTCGGATCGTCACCAACTGGCGTACGCCATCTTTTGAGCGTACGCACCGTTTATAAATGAGTCCCCAAGTCATAAAATGACTGGTGACCTTTAAAGGTCTGTCAGGTTTGTCTGAAAAAATGGTTTTCATGCATTTTCCGAGACTGAAACTTTGATGTTATGCACACAGAAGAATAAATAAATACCTACATTGGATGTGTAGGTCTTTTGTGACCAATCTGTATGCAAGAAAACAAGGGGAAGAAAGTTTGAATCATAATTTCTCAGTCAGTGAAAGCAGTGAAGTAATACAATTGATATGCTGAGAAAAGTGGAAATTCAGTGGGAGAAGGAAGCAGGCTTCCTCTGAGCGCCAGGAAAATGATAAATGAGTGATGACTGGAAAGCGACTTGTGTGACTGGCTCCATTAGTTCAGCTGGCTTTTGTTCAGACACCTCAGTGTATATATATATATGTCATGCTCACTTTCACACTAAAACATTTCCCCCTTGCTATCCTTCTCTAGGTGATGTTTTCCTTCGAGGCTGGCCGGCGCTGCGACTCAGGCCCCGGGAACTTCACCTTTGACACCAAGCAGGGCAACGAGATCTTCACGCTGGTGGACCAGGCCATCCAGTCGCAGAAGGTCCAGGCCGAGGAGCGCCACCTCAGCGGCCCCCTCAACTTCGACCCCGACTGCCCGTTGTCCCTGCAGCACATACGCAACGCCCCCCCCAGCAGCCTAACAGGAAGTGGGGACAGCAGCAGCTGCAGCAGCCGGGAGGCCGACGGAGATTCAGGGGGCAGCAAACCAGGCTCTGCTGACGGAGTGCTGGGGAAGAGAGAGGGTGGAGATGGAGGGGGAGGAGGAGGAGGAGGAGGAGGGAGGGGGCAAGGAACAGGACTAAAGGGGAGGAGTTTACCAGAACCTCCAGCCATAATGGGCGTTATGGGAAGTGGGGGGGCCCCTGCGAAGTCTCCAAGAGGTCAGGTGGCAGCGAAAGGTGCTGATGAACACGCAGCTCTTTACTCTGAGCCGGCAGACTCCGTGCGCCTGCCTCTGCACGCCGGAGACTGCCTCTACTCCGACCCCGTGGACACCATCAAAGCTCAGAGCCAGAGCAGCACCCACCCTGTGGCCCCCCCCCGCCTCCGACCAGCAGGAGATGATGCTCCGGGAGTTCAAGGGGATCATCACCTGGGAGGCAGGAAGCTGCCGGACCTGTACTCGCACGTGTATGACCGGATCAGCCTGGAGCTGAGCCAGAAGACGGGCGCGCTGAGTCTGAACGGAGCCGCGGGGGGGGGCAGAGGGGGGAACAGCAACAGGAGGCCCCCAGGAGGTCAGACAGAAGGAGCTTTAACACCTACCGCTGCGCGTCTGGAGCACATCTACGACGAACCAGAGGGCCGCGCCTCCACCGGTAAATCAGGGATGACAATTTATGACGAGGCCCGTCTGGAGCCCCACATCCACAGGAGGAAGGACGAGGCGGCCCCTTCAGGGCCGGAGGGAACTTACAGCACTGCTTCGCATGCAAAGCCAATAGACCCCCACAAACACTCGCCCCCGCAGCCGGCCCAGAGCCGTGGCACGCCTCAACCCCCTGCACCGAGGTGGCCCAAACCCCTCACTGGCCCGAAGCCCGGCAGGATGAAGAAGGAGCCGGTGCCGCTGCCCCCCGGAAAACATGGAGGCAATAATGTAAACAACAACAACAATCTATGGGGGGGAGGGGACACGGGGCAGGAGCTGTACAGCAAAGTGTCAAAGAAGAAACCTCCACCTGCTGACTCGTGGAATTCGCTGAGATCACCTGAATGCATCTACGACAACCTGGGAGACGTCTGACACGAGGACTAACAGACGAAACCTTTATCCCCTTTGTGAAAAGAGGAGAAGTGCAAATGCAGAACACTCAGTCGTGGCCTTTATTCCTGCAGCTTTTGTAACATTTCTTCAAAATGTGGACTGGCATCATTATGTCGATTTATTGGAAGTAGATCAAAGCACAACTATAAGATCATGGCTGCATGGAGTGAGACTATGGAAGGGCCACCCTGTGTGTGTGTGTGTGTGTGTGTGTGTGTGTGTGTGTGTGTGTGTGTGTGTGTGTGTGTGTGTGTGTGTGTGTGTGTGTGTGTGTGTGTGTGTGTGTGTGAGAAAGAGAGAGTGGGTGTTTGCATGGTCAAACCCATAACTGGAGTACCAAGCCACAGTGTGGTGGGAAGCTGCCACTTTTCTATAACTCACATTGCACACACAGCGTCTGGATGTGCCAGAAGGAGCCCGGCCTGCAGGCTTCACTTTAACAAGCTGAGAGAGTGGCTTGGCTCCTTTTTATAAAGTATCCACCGTGCTTATGAAGTTACTAGGAAACATGTTTTTGCACTGCTTAGGTCCGGAGTATCTTTGAGGCTTCAACAAAAGGAGCTGGCTTTTTCTGTTTGTGTATTCTGGACTGATCCATCTTCTCAATGAGCGGGGAGATTTACAACATCTGCAGCCGAGGACACTAATATGTGTCGTTGCATCTGAGGATGCATTAAATACAAAAACATTGTTGCTACTGTTTTAAAGGAAGTGAGACATAAATGGGTCATAAATAGGTCCTGAGGGTCACATGGTCGTCATTAAATTACAGGTGACTTCCTGCACAACACAATATTATTGAAACTTTTATGTTTCTAATTACAGAAAAACTAAATATGAAGCTAACAATCCCCGGCAATGTGTCAGTGTGTATGTGTCAGAAACAGCTGTGCTGTCTGTAAATATAACTATTAATAAAAATGGCTCCAAAAACGTTTATGTTTGTCCTTCGGTGATCTGTAAACTAGGAGTGTGTCCCATCAGGAGCCGATCAGACGGATCTTTTGAAGGTGTTTTTCTGTTTTGAAGCGGGACAGTGTGACCTCACCTCCCTCCCTCTGCCACGCTCTGTTTTTGTTACTCCGCTCAGTTTCCAACCACTTAATCAGACCGTTACAAGTGGAGCCTTTTAGAGCAAAGACTTTCTCTCTTTCTTCCTTCCTTTTCTCTGTCTCTCTGCATTATTTCTGTTGTTGGGTTGCTCTGGTGACAGTTAATGGCGGCTGGTTTGTGTCGGACACGTCGTGCATTTCAACTGCAGAGAGATACCGGAGGAGGGCAGGAATACAAGATGGATGGAAAAAGAGGTGTTTATCCTGGGCTGAGGATGACTAAGGAAGTAGAAAGAAAGACCTGAAAAGATGCTGACATGATGAATGCTGGCTGGATGAACCTGTCTGTGTGCTTGTCTTGCATAACACGTACAGAATGTTCCCGTCACTGATGCTCTTTATCCCATCATCCCTTTTTATCCCCTTTCTTTATTTACCCACCTGCTGCTGAGGACTTTCCTGTCCAGAAAGTCCTCCAAAAGTATCTTGATTACACATCTAGGCTATATTTCCTGACTCGTCCCCCCCTCCCCTTTTCTTTCAGACAGAGCGGGGGAAGAAAAACAGAAACGACGACAAACTTCTGTCTTTCTCATTAAACCCTGCGTGAACTCATAGGATAAAGAGGCACACAGAACAGCACTTCTTTAATATGGCTCAACACTTCCTCATTGGAATATCCAAAGCACTGTTTACTCTTTTACAGTCGGGGAAGCGGAGACTTTGCCCAACTTTATAGTCATAAAGTGGAACAGTGTTTGTAGAACCGAGTGGAATATTTATTTTGTAATAGCTGTTATGTGCTTTATCTCAAATGTGATTCAGCTCATAGAAAGGAGCATTCAGCCATTCAATAAGTATTTGTATTGTTTTGAAACTAGTTTTTCATCTCTTTTTCATGTTTGTTTCGTTTTTACTTTATTGCAGGTTTGCACAAGTACAATCAAGTATATTAGACGAGGTCCGGTCAGCAAAAAAACCAAAAAAATCACGAGTCATACAAACATTAAATTAAATGACGATCATGTAAGATATGATAGCATGACACTAAAAGAAATGGAAAATATAGCACTATAAAGTGTGTAAAAGTAAGTGACAAGCTTATAGAACGGTATTATATTGCACAAATGTATTTTTTACGGCTCTCTAACTGTGATAAGACTTTGATTTTTTGCTTGAGTCCCCCTTTTAAAGACTATAAGTTGGTACAGCTTTTCAAAAGTGGTTAATATCTAGTTCCTTCCTTTCCTCACATTTCTTTCCTCGTTTGCTCTGACCTTTCACACATCTGCAGAGCAGCTCGACGGCCTCCTAATGGTGGTGAGTGTGTGACGGCTACACAGAGCCCTCTGCTGCTGCCCACTTTGTTCAGTGTACGGAGCGTCGGGGGGGGACTGTGCGTCTGCAGACGTTCCTCTGATGCTACCATATCACCATGTGTGCATTCCTTTGAGATTGTGTGCTCAAGGTTTGTCGCCTCATCTTGAAAGCACATCGCACTTCATGGTTTCACATCTACTTCGGTGACTTTTCTCACTTTTTGCCGAAATGTCAAGATGTGTTGCTGCAGACGTGACACACAACTGCATTACTAAAGTGTGAATTAACCGATGAACCGCTTTTATACATCTACGCTTGATACAATTCAACAGACACAGCTCCACTTGCCTGTGTGGGTGTGTGTGTGTGTGTGTTGTTTCTAGCCACATGACGCTATATTTGGCCAGACAGTTTTATTTGCAGGTTTGAGGTCTCCGCATTTCTGCATGCAGATGTCACACACACGCACGCACGCACGCACACACGCACACACACACACTGTTCTGCTGCTTTCTTCATGTCTCACATTGTCTTCCTGTCGATTGTTTATCCTCACCATTGTGTATTCTTTCCGTCACTCGGTCCACACTTTATCTAAACATAAATTACGTCTACATTTATCTTCGCTTATGGCCAATGAAACAAGCCACCCAACGCTAAAATATGCTTTATAAAAACGAAGCAGATGTAATGTAAACCCAGTGTTATCTCACTAACTGATGAGTCTAAGACTCCTCGTAACTTCTCAATGATGTTACCTTAAAGACATCAGCAGCTATTTTTGTTTTATGATTAGTCTGCTACTGCAACACTTAGAATGAGGAGTGATGTTAGTTGCCACAGCATTTAGAGAAATACAGTAAATATTCAAAAGTGACGTAGTTCTTTAAATGTCAAGAAATTAAACGCAGACCAAATTTCACACCTGTCAGCTGCACTTCTGAGTATTAAACACACTGAAACTAAGCTGCATTTCCTCATTCTGTTTTTAAGTTCAGACGTGAAAAATAGAAACATGAGCTTTTTGTGTTGCGCACACTAAAGAGTTTTGGTGCGGCTGCCATCAGACGCACCTGAAACTGCCCGGTTTCCTCTCCGCTCTGCAGACCACCGGCTTTTATTTTTAGCTGCGTGTGGGCAAACCTTCCCAGTCATGCGTGTCTGAAAGAGAATTTCATTCACTCTGTTCTCAGCGCTATCTGAAGGAAGTGATCGTCATTCAGATAGTCGCTGCGTTGCCTCCAAATTAAAGGGATGCCTATCCAAAACTAAGGGGGTTCAATTATTTGCGTAAAGTACTCTGTTTTCTTAGACCAGTCTGAGTTCATGTGTACATATTTTGGAGCCTTTTTTAGATTGGAACATCCATATCAGCTAATGAGATTTCCAGTATTTTCTAGACTTTCTGGGTCGCAGGACTTTCAGAGATCTGACATTACAGTTCAGCTCCTGTACCTCCTCACTTCACCTCCTCACTTCCTCACCGAAAAGCACTTCCTCTTTCTGTTCTCACTCTGGCCGACCATTCTCTGCCTGTTCCCTGTTCCCTGTGTGTGAATTGTGGCTCTTTTGGGATCCTGCTGAGTTCGTCTCAGTGCTGTCGTTGAGAGGACAATCACAGGAAAGAGACAGTGTATCAGTTTGGGAGACACAGAGAGTCTGACAGAGTTTTTCTCTCCTTCTGCAGAGGAGGAAATGGTACATTATAAAGCAGGAAGTCACAGCAATCATATTATCCTGATATAGAAGCTGAGACTTAGTCAAAAATGCTGTTGCAGTTTCAGTAGAGGAAATAAATACAATTTATTAATCCACACTTATACACAATGTTAAAATACAAATTTGAGAGAAGTTTAATAAATATGTCGGACATACAAGATCCTTAAATAACTTACATAGTGAACAAACAACAGCTCAATTCAAAGAACACACAACATGAAAGCTGAACGGGAACAACAATGAGTCAGCAATGTGAGATAAGGCTGTTTGTGTGGTGGAGGCGTAAAGACAACAATGAACAAAGAACTTTTCTTAGAACGGCTAAAAAAAACCTGAAGACCTGAAAATGTCCTCAACAACAAGACATTAGAATTAATCTGCAAACACAGATAGGGCCCCTCTTGTTTGACATTTAACGAGGAGTCGGTCGTCCTTTGGCTTCGGCCTTTTGACCTTTAGGCGGACAGAGCGGCTCTATTTGAACACATTTACAAAATCCACACACTCGATGTCTCTGAGTTTGTGGTGATTAATAAGAAAGTGTTGAATACGGACGGAGACGGCGAAGAGAGAAGTGGATAAAATGTCAGTGGGCAACTTTGGAGGTCCGGTCAAATTCTCCCCGGAGACAAAAGGGTCGTTGTGGATGTAATTCCACGAATAAGGAAGTCCTGTGACATCACAACGTCAGGAAGTCATTCGCCGCTGGTAGTAGTCTCGAGTGTTATAAGGTTCAACATGGGGGTGGAATGGCGGGACACTGATTAAGTGTGTGACCAAGCGCCATGACGAAGAATAAATTAATAATAGTGACGTAGGGAGTGTCTGACTCACCAATAAGTGCGTATGATCGTGAATATGTTTGACTAGTATACTTTTAACAATCTCACACCCACAATGGGAAATGTTCAAACCATATGATGTCAAATCTAAAGAACATACTACAAAAAAAAAAAAAAAAAGACTTCTGGTCTGTGCTCCTTCCATCCGCCCCCCTCACGCTGCCTTTCAACCCCCAGAGAGGGAGCTCGCTGTGGGGGTGACGGAGAGCAGAGAGGCCCCTCTGTCTGCTGCTTTATTCTCTGTCTCATTAAAACACTGAAGCTGTGTTCGGGCCGGGGCTTAAGGGCAAAATGGAAATGGAATGTGCATATGTGTGTTTTCTATAAGTCCATCTCTACTATAGCGGCTGTATTATGCATCATTTTGCAACCTCTTTCTAGATTTCTTTAGTAGCTGTGTGTAAGTGGGTGATGAAATATGGACATTTAGTTGTTGCCTCAATATTTCTGACTCCTCCAGGCTTCCATAGTCCTACAGTATCCCCTCTTTTCACCTTTTCTTCCCTCGTTCATTGTTCATTTTTGGAAGTTCTTCTTGCCTCAGCGATGTAAAGACTTTCCTTTCTCACACACTCATGCACGGAGGGTGGTTAAAATCAGATCTAGCTATTCTTGTGGTGAGATTAAACAGAGGAAACCAGTGTGTGTGTTCTGTGTGTATTTACAGACACATTAGTGTGTGTTTCCCTCCTTTAAAGTCATTAAAGCCCTTATGAGCTGCCTGATGACTCACCAACGTTTCAATGGGGACCGATTACCGAAATGTCCTGACTAAGCATTACCGTAGTTCACTGGAAAGCCCTTTGAAGTGGAAGGTTCTCCCCCCCCCAGTGTTCTTACTGTATAACCATGGACTCATCATCATGGTCTTCCTCCTGACGAGAGGGGACCGGGGCCTGTTGGTTCCCCCCACCGCTGCTGCTGCTGCTGCTGAGGAGAGTCAGGGCCCCACGAGAGGCCTTCGCAGGAGGAGGTCCCAGGGAGGAAGAGGAGGA